AGTGTTCTATGATTATAACGTAGGAACCAAACTATGTAACATACTTCAGTCAATTTCATTTCTAAACATTTTTAGAAATGATGTTGACTGAAGTAAAAATTATTTTAAAGCTGTTGTTTACTAAAAAAATTTGTAGTTTTCTTTCTGCAATATTTTAAAACAACATTACTTTATTTTAAGTTTTATTTTGAAAAAAAAAAAACTTATATGAGGGAGCTACAGTATTTGTTGCATGTAAGTTGCATTGTACAGAATTCCACAATTTTTCACCTTGTAAATCCTCATAGCTATGATGATTAAAGTAGCTTTGTACGAAAAGGTTAACATGCTGTTTATTACATTTTTAGTCAAGAAGACCTTAAAAAAACCACGTGTGACCATTTGGCAAACTTATGATGGCCGAAATTTTAATTGTAAGTATAAGTAAGAAATAAGTATAAAAAATTGCAAATTTGGATTTTAGCAGATTGAATGTAAATTTATAAGACAAAAATATTTGTTATCAGGACTTAAAGTAAAAAATTAAGTTAAAAAATTTAAAAAGTGAAGTTCATGGGAAGAGGGGCATGTCAAGTTGGCAACCAACAAATTTGAGCAGTAAGTATACCCAATTATATTTAAGATGGTGTTTGTTGATCTTATTTTGTTGTTGCTGTTATTTTTTTTGTCTTTTTTATTTGCAAGTCCAAATCACCTGCATAGCCAACATAGTCTGCACAGTCAACATAGTCTACACAGTTGTTAAACAAGCCCACTATGCAGAAAAATAAATTGAGCGTAGGACATTAATAGGTTTAGAGTGGATTTGAACTTTAAACCTCCTGATTTAGAAAGCTTTAATTCTAGTCTACTACTGCACAGATATTTAGTAATTATCTATATTCAAAACAACAATCCTATACATTCCAGCTTACCTGTTGTTGTTTTTTTTTGAAGGTTGATATGCAAATTTGTTTAAAATAAATTAAAATGCTGACCATTTTTTACTTTTTATTGAGTTATATTAATATTTAACAAAAAGAGTTCCAATACTGATTACTGATGATTTTTACCATATTTATTACATACATTTCTGTGGTGCAGTGGTAGAGCATTTGCTTCATATAAAAGAGGTGCCAAACTAAATCCTCATCACATCCCTGGTAGCACAAGGCTCAACTTGTTTCTCTGCACAAAGATTTCTCACGATTCATTTTTAATTAAGAAAATAAATTTTGCTTAAAAATAATACTTAACTATAGTGACCCCCTCAGCCTAGGGGAGCTAATAATAATAATAAAGAAAAATATTAACACAGTTCATTAAAGTTTATAACTTCAGCAGCTATCCAATATCTTTCATGATTTTCAAGAAAATTTATCATAAATTTTATGCAATAATTACTCTTTTAAATGTTATTAAAAACTTTCATACTTATTAAATATTAGGATATAATTTGCTAGTAATATGATATAAATTACATTTGATGGTAATATATGACATTTAACTATTTATGATTCATTTAATAATTTTATTTTTAACAACAAATTGTTCAACTTCAAACCTTGAGTTATAAGCTGCTATAGAATCTTCTGTAACTTTTGATATCTCTTGTTTGTTTTCGAAAAACTTCTAAAAAATAATTTTTAAATTTATTTTTATTTTCAAAAGTTGTAATAAAAAATCATTCATAATTTCAGACTTTTTTGAGTTCAATCTTTTTTTAAAAACATTTAACAATGGTTTCACACTAAAACAATGGCTTCACATTTCTGTGGTTTTCTACTTGGGAGATTAGCACCCAGGTTTTTTTTAGCTTCTCCTACCCTTACCCAATTTTATATAGGGGCTTTTATATAGAGTTTTCCTTAGATAAGTTGCCTTCATTGCAGCTAAAATGCATCACCTATCCTAATTTAGGGTCAGTAGTTTAATGTCATGACCAGAGCATTTATTGTAGTAGCAATAAAAGTAACTAGTTCAAGTTTACCTAAACACTAAAAAAATACAAAACAATAAAAGATAAAAAATAAAATGGTTAACAAAAATGGTTATTTGAAAAAACTATATATATATATATATATATATATATATATATATATATATATATATATATATATATATATATATATATATATATATATATATATATATATATATATATATATATATATATATATATATATATTTACTATAAAATTATGTAAATTACATTTTCAAGTTTTTTGTAAAGTCCATCAAAAACAAACTTTTCACTTCTCATATGATCAATTGCTTCTCGCAACTTAGCATTTTCTTCTAATGCAGAACTAAACTTTTTATTTTCCTATAGTATTAAAAACAAGTAAACACATGTAAAACTTTTACAAAATAAAAAAAGAAGTTTTACGCATCAAAAAAATGTAAAACCAAAATGATTAGTCAACTAAATATTTTCTACTCACTGATCGAATTTATAATGATCAAAAATAAAATAAAAGTTTTCTTTTTTGAGTAAATTTTATTCTTTTGTTTGCAAACC